TATATGTAAACGCAACGTTCACTTCTCGCTTTCCAAACTCTGTCTGAGTGTGATACGCGCGGGGATCTTTTAATACACCAAACCTCGCGCTTCGAGAAGTTTCTGTAGATGACCAATCACGGCATTTCGTTGATTCAAACACGCATTCTTATTGGCTCAGAAGTTTCGATGCATCTAGAACAAGGATAAATATATCAGAGTGAGGTATAACTTACTGACAAAAAGAGAGAGAAATATGATGGTAGAAATACGAGAAAATGCTGGAATGTATTACGTTCAAGATCGCGGTTATATTTAGCATGCTAAATATTTTCTTGTTTATTCATAAAACTTAAGTAGTTATAATTATATATATCGATAACATTAAAGATATAAATGAAAAATATAAATGATTTAAATATATATTTAATTGATTTTCAAAAATTTAAATCTGAACATTTATATAAATGACAAATAAATATACTGTATATATAAAAATATATATATATATATATTATGAAGAATATTATTATAATTATAATTATAAATTATATTTCTCTTGATTCTTTGAAAGAAATGAATAATAAAAATTATTAAAATATTATATTATATACAAATATTATATATAAAATTTGTATTTGATCATAGAAATATCAGAATTTATATCAAATTGTTAGATAATTAAATTATATTATTTAAAATATTAAAAATATTAATCATTTATGCATACGCATATTTAAATACCACATTATTTTCAAATAACAAACTTTATTAAATTAAATAAAAATTAATAAAATTAACAGTTTTTGAAATATGATTATATATATTTAATCTAAAATAATTCGATAATTGTAAAAATAAATTTCCAAAAATATGTTATATTTATGTAACAATTTATACATCTTTCTTTGAATATATATTTTAATTTAAGAATAACTTAATTTATGTCAGTGAAACGATATTATTACTTTACTATTACATCACGTAAGATTGACTGTTACTAAATATGTTAATAACTACATATATGATACTAGAATAATACTATACAAAAATAACTTTAGGTATATAATAATAATAATCAAAAATAATAATAAAAAATCACTATGTATATATTTTTGTATGTTTATTATAAATAATTGTTTATTTTTCTTGATATTTTATAAAAAGATTAATAATGTATTTAAAAATATCTCTCTTCATGTTAATATGGTAAATGATTTTTTTGAAGTTGACATATTTATTAATTTTAATTCAAATATTTGGCGCGAAATAAAATTAAAGAATTTGTATACATTATATTTTTATCTTAAAAGAAAACAATTCATGCTTATTAAAATTAAGACTTTTATTTTCATTTTTTTTCTTTATTATAAATGTAATTATTTTACATTATATATATTATAATTACTATACATATTATAATTTAATCTAATTTAATATTTGACTCATTTCTCGAGATTTCGATCAAAATCTAAAAACCGTATTAATGAAATGAATCCATCTGGGAAAATTAAAAAATTAGATGAAGTTGTGGTAAATAGGATTGCAGCTGGTGAAGTAATACAGAGACCAGCAAATGCATTAAAAGAATTAATTGAAAACAGGTTAGATATCTAAAAATCATATGATTGTTATATATATATTTTCATTGTTAACTTACTTCGAATGTTCTAGTCTTGATGCAAAAGCAAATAATATACAGATCATCGCTAAAGAAGGTGGATTAAAGTTATTACAGGTATTTTCTTTCTCTATTTAAATGAAAAAATAATTATTATAATTTAATGTTTATTTGTGTTAATTTAATTCAATGTTATTAAATTCAGATTCAAGACAATGGAACAGGAATCAGAAAAGAAGACATGGAAATTGTTTGTGAAAGATTTACAACTAGTAAATTACAAACATTTGAAGATCTACAAACAATATCAACTTTTGGATTTCGTGGTGAAGCTTTAGCAAGCATTAGTCATATATCACTTTTAACAATAACAACAAAAACAGCAAATGAAAAATGTGCTTATAAGTATGTTTAAATATATAAAACATTTCTCAAATTTTAGGAATTTTATTGAAAATATTCTTTTTGTTCATTTAAGAGCATCATATGTTGATAGTAAATTAAAAGCACCACTTAAATCATGTGCTGGAAATCAAGGTACTACTATAGTAATTGAAAATTTGTTTTATAATGTTGCAACAAGAAGAAAGGCTTTGTCAAATCCAAATGAAGAATTTAACAGAATTACAGATGTAGTTACAAAATATGCAATTCATAATGCAAATGTAGGATTTGTATTAAAAAAACATGGTGAAATAGCACCTCAGGTATTTTATCATATATAAAAATTTATACAATTAAATATTTTTATTTATAAATGTTTTTAACATTTAGATTCGTACACCACATAATTCAACTAAAATGAATAACATAAGAATACTTTATGGTAATCCTGTATTTCGTGAATTATTAGAAGTAGAATTTAAAGATGATACTTATAAATTTAAAATGCATGCTTTAATAACAAATGCAAATTATACAAACAAAAAGATGATATTTCTCTTGTTCATTAATAACAGATTAGTAAAATCTTCTTGTAAGTTTTGAAGTTTTTTATTAAAATAAAAAATTTAGTTTTAGTTATAATGTTAAATTATATAGATATTCTATTTCAGCTATTCAAAAAATGTTAGAAGAACTTTATACATTTTATCTTCCAAAAAAGACTCATCCATGGTGTTATATATCTTTAGAAATTGATCCACGAAATATCGATGTTAATGTACATCCGACGAAACATGAAGTTAAATTTCTTCATGAAAATTCTATCATTGAAAGAATGAAACTCACTTTAGATGAAAAATTATCTGCAAATAGTGCTTCTAGAACATTTTACTTAAAAAATCGGCTACCAAAAGCAGATATTACTAAAGAAGTTTTGAAAGAAATTTTACCAGAATATGAAGAAGATAACAGTAACAAAATAAAAAAAATTCGTCCTCAAGAAATGATCAGAACTGATGCTTCTGATCAAAAACTGGATAAATTTAATTTTATTCATACAGAAATAAAACATGTTAAAAATGATGATAATATTCAAACTCATTTGAATACAAAAACTCAAAATAATATTACTGATGAAGAAAATGTAAATAAAATACAATGTTTAACATCAGATACAATAGATATACAGCAAAAAGATAAATCAACACATGCTGTAGATAATGAAAAAAATACAGATAAAATACAATGCTCAACACCAAATGAAATTGATATACAAAAAGATAAATCAATGCATGTTACAATAACAGCAGCAACAGAAAAATCTAATAGTCCATGGAGTAATATTATAAATGATTCAAGTCCATCTACATCAGATTTGCTAGCATCTAATGAATCTAATATAAATTTATGTATTCAAAATATTAACAAAGAAGAAGAAGAAAAAAAATTAAATAGTATGCAAGATATTTTAGAAATTACAAATGATGAAATAGATGAAGATATAGTAGATTCTATAAAAGACAAATGTATCGATATTATTGCAGATAAAGCTCGTAAACAAGTATATAAATGCTTTGGAAATAAGAGCACTAAATCGGAAGAAAAAAAAATAGATAAAAATGATATAAATAAACAAGAAATAAAAAATTACGAATCTGAAGAAAATAAACAACTCAATGAAATACAAAATGTTGAACAAACATCGAGAGAAATTAATAATGATAATGATAAAAATAATGATAATAAATGTTCATATGAATTTAAATCTTACTCAATAAATAATTTTAGAAGAGAAGTAAAATTAACGAGTGTTTTAAAATTGCGAAAAGAAGTAGAAGATGCATGCCATGAAGGTGTGAAACAAATTTTATCAGAATTAACTTTTGTTGGTTGCATAGATCAGTCTTCTGCTTTAATTCAAAGCGGAGTTAATTTGTATCTTTGCAATACACAAAAATTAGCGTGAGCATTATTTTTTTCTTCTTCATAAAATTTTATAATATATATAAAAAATTGAATTATATTTCTTTTTATTTAGGGAAGAACATTTTTATGAAATTATGCTCTATGACTTTGCAAATTATGCAGTCATTAAATTTTCGGTATGTAATTATGCAAATAAATAACATTACATCATTACATACATATACATACGTTTTTTGCAGGAAGCACTTCCTTTGTATGATTTAGCTATGTTAGGATTAGATACTAAAGAAGCTGGATGGACAGAAGAAGATGGGCCAAAAGAAGAATTAGCTACTAGTGTTAAAGAATTATTATTGGAAAAGGCAGATATGTTAAAAGAATACTTTTCTATTGTTATAGATAAAAAGGGAAATTTAAAATCTTTACCAGTATTATTAGGTAAATATATTTTAATAAACTATCCATATTTAAAATGTAATACAAAATTATATTATATTATCTTTTAGAAAAATATTTTCCAAGTATGGAAGGTCTTCCTCTTTATATATTACGTCTAGCTACTGAAGTAGAATGGTCAACAGAACAACCATGTTTCCGAAATATTTGTAGAGAAACGGCAAAATATTATAGTCAAATTAGTGCCATACATGATACTCATGATTGGAAGTATATTACAGAACATGTTTTATATTCTACAATTAAAGAAAGTTTTCTTCCTCCCAAACATTTTGCACATGATTCAACAATATTACAAATAGCTAGTTTACCTGAATTATATAAAGTTTTTGAGAGATGTTAAATTTTTAAAATAGAATTGGTTTTTCACAAAAAAAATATTTTCTATTTTAGTAATTAGTAATTAAAATTATAATATGAATCATAGTATTAAAGAATCATAGTATTTCTTACATTGACTCTATGATTTATTTATTTATTTTTGTGAATTTTGTAATAAATTCTATATTGAATTAAATATTATCTTTCTATATTGCTTTAATGGAATGTAATAAATAAAAAATATGGTATGACAAAAAAACGATTTGCTTCATTACATATAAATCTATTTATGTTAATTAAAGAAACATAAAAATTTGTATGTATATTATATATATTTTTAAACCTAATAAGAATAAATTTATTTTTCATAAAATTTGTTTTTCTTTTTTCTATCAATTGCATGACATTCATACTTTGATGTATTACATTTCAATTTTAATTACAATATATATTTGCCAATATTTCATTCACGGGTACCTTTTATGAGATTGCATTTAATCCCACTTTAATTAACATAACCATGAATTATCCTTTTGCAACACCAACCAATGCTGGTCTTACTACTCGTTCATGTAATTTATAACCCAATTTAGATACAACTACAATTGTTCCTGGTTCTTTACCTTCAACTTCCTATGTTAAAATATGTTTTTTATTATTACTATTATTTATTTAATATATTATTGTTCATATAAATAATAAAAAAGAAGAAATTTACCTGTTGAAATAATGCTTCATGTTGATTAGGATCAAACTTTTCATTCAGTGGATTTAGCGAAACTAAACCATGTTTTTTAAATACCTATATAAACATATTTCAAAGTAATAATTTAAATTTATTATTGTATGAAAATATAATCATATTTTTTTAATTACTTTATGTAACTGTGCTTCTGTCATCTTTAAACCTTCATATAATGTTTTTAAATGTGGATTTTTTTCTGTGAGTTCATTTTTAGGTACACTTTCTGTAGCTTTGCCTAAAATGTCTGCTACTTCTAAGAGATCCTTGCAAAAACCTTGAATACCAAACATTTTTGCATCTTGAATTTGTTTGTTTAATCTAACTCTAAGATTTTCTCCATCAGCAAGTGCTCTTTTATATTTGTCCTCTAATTCATTTTTATGATTTTTAAGATCCATTAATTCCTTATTAATAAGTTCAATGTCTGCTTTTAATTCCTTTCATTTTCTGTAAGTTCCAATACTGGTTCTCCACTTTCTGACTTCTGTTCTTCTGTAATTGTACTATACTCTTGTCTTTGCCAAGAAACATGTGATGGTTGAATTAACCTTTAAATCATCAAAAAAAATTTTAAGACATTATGTTTTTTTTTCTTTAAAAAATAAATCAAAAGAAATTAATATTTTTATTATTTATTTAATAATGTTTGTTATTTTAGAGAATTATTAAACACATATTAAGAATATATACAAATAACTACATAAGGTTTTATTTAAATTTTTAACAATTTTGAAAATATAATCATCTTTATTAAATATATTACAATTTATTTAAAAAATTCCTACGATAATAAAATAATAAATAAACACTATTTAACATTCTAACCTCTAGATGTACCTTGCAATATAAATACAAGTTACACATTTTAACAATATAATAAACTACGAAATATAGAATCTTACCTAAGTAAAATATTTTTATTTATATTGTGCAAATTATCAATCGTGACACGAGTAAATCTCGTTGCAACCGGTACCACAAATGATGCCATAGTTCTTAATTTCATAAAAATTGGTGAATGATGAAATACAGCGATCCTCGTGCATTCTCAGTGGTTCTCAAACATCTCTTGCAACATAAGAATCGCGATAAGAAATTTAACCATCATATATTTCGATGTATTACGTAAAACATGATATTATATATCAGTTTTCTAATTATATTCATTCAAAAAGTTCGTAAATTTTAAGATTATAAATTAAATTCATTTTCATTAACAATTATTACAATTGAATCATATTTTTAATATTTTATTGGAATGAAGTTGTACAATACAATGAAAACTGTTTGTGACCGTAACTCTCGTGATTCTACAAGTTCTTTTAATACTTGCATATGTTTTATTTACAAAAATTGAAACTATTATTCAACATGTTAAAGAAGTACGAGATTTCAAACAGCAAAATATTTAGAAAATAATTCAATTCTAAAACAAGCTAAAAAATTTCATTTCATTCTTTAACATATGTAATATTCTAAACCGTAGCATTAAAAATTTATTATTTGAATAATAAGCTTAATTCTTTTTACGTCTCGTAGAGATAACTTGTAATACTGTAAGTTGTTAAATCCTTACAGTAATAATGGTTTGCAATATATATTGTGCTAGCAGTTATAAATAAGAACAATTTAATTTTTCAAACTTACATAGATTTCTCAAAATATTTTTCACGTTATTTACGGATGTATTTTCATTTTTTATTTTTCTTATGATTGAAAATTGGAAATATCTTTTTATCTATTTTCAAGTAAATTATCATAGTATAAGTCATATTGATTATAAACAAAAAAAACATTGCGTAAGATAAGATATTTGCACATTTTAATCATAATTAATATGTAAAATTATAATAAATATGTAATGTTTTTGTATGTACTTAGAAAGTGAAATATATAACACAAAAACAATACTACTTGATTTTAAGAAAAAACGGCAAACAGATATAATTCATGTTGAAGATTATGTAAAGTCATTGTCCTTCAATTATCGATAGTAAGCATTGTATACATCTTATCTGGCGTATTTGTTCAACATTTAATAAAAAAATTAATCTATTTTTTATCTAATATTACATTCCGAGTGTGCAAACGTTGATCAACAAAAATTCTACTGATAAAATTACTTAGTTACTAAATTTTTCTTTAATGTACATAAATAAATCATTTATCAACCAACTATGCCTTCCACATGTCTTCTAACTGATTAAAGATCAAATTTCATTTGTTTCATATTAAGACAGAACGATGTCTACAAACATTCAAATTTTTTTCGGCACAAGCCAAAAAGATGTACAAGTTTCATTATAGCTTGTACAAAATTATAAATGTTCATTAAAATTTGTCTTTTTTTTACATATTTTAAGTGAAAATACAGAGCAGACAACTACTCCTTTGATCATTTCACAATGTTTAATATATGTTTTGACTTTATGTTTGTAAGAGTAGTGTGCCTGACGTATTACCGAAACAGGTCACACATTATCAATCATTTGACACCATTTATAAAGATAGCTAAAATATATAGAGGTTAGAATCCTTCCTGATACTGTTTTGAATCTAATTTCGCTTGAATTACTTCCAATTGCCTCTTTGCTTCACATTGTGGGAAATTTTGTAAATCATAATATTGTGGTGCTATTTTAAGCAACCAATCAGCTGCAAAAAATAATATTTATAATATTTATAATATATATAATAATATTTATAGTATACATAATAAAGAATTTTTTTATATTATTCAATAATAAAAATATGACTTACGTTTAATATCTGTAACTGTTCTGATATAATTTTTGGTCGTAAGCACAAATTCATTATAAATTACCCACTCGGGTTTATGATCTAAACAACTGCTTGGATGAAGTTGTACAATTTGATTATCTTTAATAGTTAAATAATGACCAGTCCTCTCTAAATGAGCGACCTAACACATACAAAAGAGAAAAAAAAATAATATTACACGTTAGAGAAACATTTTTCTTGAAAATATTATTTTCAATTATATTTACCTGCATGAAGAACCCGTTTACAAGAGCTTTTCTAATATTAATATAATAATCTTTTGATGTGAACTCTGTTGAAGTACGTTTTAAACAAAATCTATCCATTATTCTACTTAGTTGTTGTCTAACATTATCACCACTTTTTAAAGATCGATAATTAACGAAATTATCGTAACACCATTGTGGATCTTCGAAATCTATAAAGAAAAAAAGATAAATTATTACAAAAATGTATAATAAATTTTAACAAAATACTTACTTTGCTTAAAGGCATGATAGACATTCAATAATGTTAAGTGGTCTCCGTCGATATGTGCAAATCGCATTTTAGCATCATCCGCAGCTTTCTTTGATTCATTTGGCCTCACAAAACACTGCGGGACTAATACAATATCAATCATCAATTTAAAACCACGTTACCTTACCATGATCCTGACTTAGTAACTTTCGCTTTTATCGTATTAAAATTAATTTAAACGCAAAACAAGATATGAACCTAATAGTATTGTAAAAAAATATTTTTTAATAATACTGTACCTGACAACATAGCAGTAATGCTCAATATCTCATTACTACAATTATGATTGCAAGATGCGATGAGCATCTTTGCCAATTGTGGATCTAATGGAAATTCTGCCATCACAGCACCCAAATCTGTGAGATTTCCATCATCGTCTAAAGCGGCCAAATAATTAAGAAGTTCTAGAGCTCTCATAAGTGTTTCTGGTGCAGGAGGATCCATAAAATCAAAATGTACCTAAATATGTATAATAAAAAAAGAATTATAAAAAAAATATTTTACAAATATAAAATAATAAATTGATTTTATAAAAATGTAATGTACCAAGTCATCAATGCCAAGTTTTTTTAATTGTAATACAACACTGCCAAGATTAGACCTTAAAATTTCAGGATAAGTATTATCTTGCATTTCATTTTTATATGCCTTTTCTGTATACAATCTAAAACATTTTCCAGGTCTTGTTCGACCAGCTCTACCAGCTCTTTGTTGTGCAGAAGCTTTACTAATAGGTGATACAAGAAGAGATTCTACACGGATTCTGGGATTATATACCTGTTTAAAAATATAATGAATCAATAAAACTAATTAAATGTATGATAGAGAAAGATGAGAATAATTTAATACCTTTTGCTTTGCAAATCCAGGATCAATGACAAAAACAACACCATCAATGGTTAATGATGTTTCCGCGATATTAGTCGAAACTACTACTTTTCTACCAATAGCACCATTAGGTTTTGTAGGTGGTGTTGGTTCAAAGATTCTTTGTTGAAGATTTGGAGGCAGTGTAGAATAAAGTGGTATACATTTGAGTTCACCTACTTCTGGACCTAAATTATCCATTTCTCGTTTAATTCTTTTACAAGCTTCTTCAATTTCTTCTTGACCAGTTAAAAATAAGAGTAAGTCTCCTACTACTTCTTCACACATATGTATTTGAGTAACAGTTCTGATAGCAGCCTCTAAGTAATCTCTTTCAGGCTCTTGTGTATAAAAAATTTCAACAGGATGAGTTCTGCCAGGTACATTCATTAAAGGTGCATTATCAAAATACTGTTGAAATTTTCCAGCATCTAAAGTTGCACTCATAATCACAAGTTTCAAATCTGGTCTTTGTTTAATCACTTCTTTTAACACACCCATTAGCAAGTCTGTGGCTAAAGTTCTTTCATGAGCTTCATCTAATAATATCACTTGATAAGCATCTAGCATAGGATCTGACATGCCTTCACGTAAAAGCATACCATCAGTCATATATTTTAATATAGTTTTTGGAGAACTACAATCTTCAAAACGAATGCTATATCCTACTTCTTGGCCTATTTAAAAAATTATCATGGAAAACATACATAAATGCCTTAATTTTTGGTTTAAAAATCATAAATATCATTTAACTTAAAAAAAATAATACATACCTAATGCAACATCCATCTCTTCTGAGACTCTTTGTGCAACGGACATAGCTGCTACTCTTCTTGGCTGAGTACAAGCAACACCCTTGTTGCCAATACGCATTGAATATTCTACACACCATTGTGGTATTTGTGTAGTTTTACCTGAGCCTGTTTCTCCAACAAGTACAATACATTGATGTTGTGCTAATAATCTCATAAAATCAGCACGATATTCAAATACAGGTAGAGTGATTCTTTTTTTATAAAATTCATGATATCTTGGTGTATAAGGTAGACTAGTATAAGGATTTATCTGAACTTGATTTTTTGGTGCTGTTGAAGGTGTAGTTGTACTGTTGGATGCTGCTGAGCCATCTCTGTGAAACAATATGTAAACAATGAAATATATAAAAGTAATTTATTTTATTACTTAAACATTGCTTTATTTATAATAATAAAATATAATATATGTATGATAACATCGTAAAGTAACGAGAGTTGAGAACACTTCGTTGGTTATGAAAATCAATTAGACAAAAAACAAATGATTAATTTTAAATTAAAAATTTCTTTAGTATATTTATAATTAACCATAAATTTTACATTTTTAAAATTTGTCTTATATTATTTTTTTTCAAAAATATTTTTCATTCGTAAAAAAAGAAATTCAGTTGAGAACCTTTGTGGATGAGTTGACCAAACAAGTCAACAGCAATAGAAATGATTGTTTTATGAATTCAAAATATTAATTTTATAAAATTTTATTATCATATAAACAACAATTCAACTAAACAATTACGTTTACAAAAATTATTTTCAAAAAATGAAATTTATTAAATGAGATGTGCCAGAATTATAAAACTTATAACAATGCACATGGTAAAATATCTTATTGAATATTTTAATTTTTACAATTAAAAAAGAATCAAAGACTCACGCTTTCCGTTTAATATACGGATCCACAACCTCGATTCTCCGTTTTGACATAATTCTTGTCCCTCCGCAGGCAAGCAAAGCAAAATCTGTTTACGAACTTCTACACAAGGCGTCACAAAATGGCAAACTAACAGGCTAAAGCTTCCTGTAATTGTAATCACAAAATACAACGACAGATGGAGCTACAGATACCATAAAATAACTATGAAATAATATTACACAAGAAATATAGTTTAAACGCGGGTAATTTCAAATTTACATAAAGGTAAAAAAATTTTATTTTAAAAAAATAATAATTTTAAGGTAAAAAAGATATTATTTTTTTCATCTATTATAATTAGAAAAAATATAATTAGCTATATCATTAAAGAGGTATATTTCTAATAATGTACATTGCTTCATTATCACATCCAAAAAGTAATGTTGATTTATCAATATCAATAGTATTGATTGGCTTATGCATAGCACTATAAAGTGAAGTTACATTAACTTTACCATTTGTACCAATTGTATTTAACCAATGTGTATTTGTAGGATCTAAAAAAAATGATAATATGTTATTAATTTAAAAAATATACTTTTATTATGAAACTTACCCAAACTTAGCTTTGAATGTTGAGCATTATTCCAATGCCATAATTCACCACTTCCTGAACATGTAAATAAATTTTCTGGTCTATCAGGATGAAAAAGTATTTCACTAACAGCTTTTGCATGAGCATTGAGTTGAGACATTGGATATGTATTATGTCTTAAATCCCAAACTGTTAAGCTTCCATCACCACCACCAGCCACTACAATATGTCTTTGAGTTGGATGATGAGCAATACTTGTAGCTTCCGTCTGTAAATAATTTTCTTTTTATTCTAATATATACATAATTTTTTATAAATAACATTAGTCAAATCATACTTTTGATTGATCAGAAAGCATAAATGTTGTAGCAGGAAGATCTTGATCATTTCTTAAATCCCAGACTTTCATATGTCCTCTTATATTTCCTGTAAGTATCTCATTATGTCTTAGGAAATCAATACAATATAATGAGCAACTATCTGCATCATCTGAAATATAAATTTATCTATTTTTGAAAACAATATACAAAATAAATATTATAAAAATAAAATATTATAGAATAAAATTCTATAATACCAATAACTCTAACTGGTTGTTTCTGTCCAGCTGTTAGAAGATTAATTCTCCCATCTTCTCCCACTGAAGCTATATCTTGTTCGAATGTGGAAAGTCCAGTACAAGGTGCATAGTCATTTGTATTACTATTAAAAGAGAATTTATAAAACATACAATATAAAATAAATAAATAAAAATCTTAATAAAACTTACTCAAATCTGTGTATAAATTCCCATGACATGTGTTCTTTAAATTGAGAATATGGATTTTCATGGATTTGCAACAATCTAACAGTACCTATAGATGTTGACACCACAAAAAAATCTTTCGAAATAAACTGTAAAAATAATATTAATAAAAAAATTGACAAATATATTTTTCACTAAGTAATAAATAAAAACCTTTATTTCAGTTACATCTCCGAGAATTGCATAGGATGAGACAACTGCTGGATAAGATTCGCCATCATCGTTCATTTGAAATGTCCAATGCGTTACTTTATTTACCTGAAAAGAAATAAAAAATTCTAATATTGTAAATAAATAACATAATTCAATATAATAATTATATATAATTTATATGTATATAACAATGTAATAGGTTAAGTTTATAACCTTACCGGATCGTCCCAACTACCGGTAATAAAATTAGTAGCATCTTCAAAATCTTCGTGTTTCCATCTAATTTTAGAAATTTTTTCCGATACGAATGTACCTTGTACATTTTCACTCATTTTGTTATAAAATACAGTTTAATTTGGAATATAAATGATAAAAATCAGGATTACCATCCATATATACGCGCGTTTCTACGCGACTGTCAAAAAAACCGCCAAATGTATTAAAGGAATTATATCATAAAATAAATGCTTATAATACACATATTATATTTTCATTCTTTTATTTTTAAATTATATAAATATAATATGAAAAAATTATTTTAATTATTTTATTTATCTTTTATTATTAATATAATATTGAAGAAATTTATATATTTAAAATTATTTATTTAAAATAACTTGAACATATAAAAAAAAATTTTTAAAAAAATGTTTCAAGTAAAAATCTAAAAAAATATTTTAATTTTTATATGAAAATTAATTACAAATAGGGATTCATCTTTATTTTATAATTTATAAAAAATATAGAGGACAGTTTTTTGGCGATCATTCTACGAACTACATCTGCATCTCATAGCTATTGAAATTTAAATTGTTTCAAATAATATATTTCATAAATTCTGAAATTTTAAGGATTCTGACATAGTTATTTAAAAATGCCATCGAATCTATTTTTATAAAAACCGGAAATCGAGATATTTTTATTTGAGTAGACAAAATTTCGAATAATCTTAGAACGAATCACTTACAAGATGTCATCGATGGTTTTGTTGTTCTTATATCTGAATACGCTCTACTTAACTTGCTGTGATGTAAGCGTCTCAAGACTATGTAAGTATTAATAAAAAGGTAAAGATTTTAATGCTGCATATTTAAGAATATACGTTTTATTTAAAAAAAATTAAAACTTAGCCAAAATAAATACAAATTTATCGAGTGATGAAGGTGTCACGGAAACGCAACAAGCATCTTGTAAAATTGCTACAGAAAAATTAGTTACTAGTGCACGTGCTAGTGTCACAAGAATACTTACTGGAGCTTGCAATACAAGTAAGAAATAATTATTTAATTTTTTTATTTGCAACATTTTCTATCATTTAATCTTATTCGTAAATAATAGAAATGATCGATGAAAAACTACAAGCTTTAGAAAAAAATCTGACTAAAGAATTGGAAGAAATCAAGATATTACTTTATACAATTCTAGAGATTAAAAAAGACTTGCCAAAGTTAACGAAACTATTCGATGATTATCACGAAGAAAGTGAGATATTAACTCCAAGACAATTTGAAATCGACAACTTCAATAATACGATTCAAAGAATTTCAACATTAAACGGTTTGTATGCGCTAAAAAAAGAAGAAAAAAAAGAAAATTTGAATAAGAGAATTAATAAATTTAATAAATTTATTTCTTTTTATATATATATATCTTATTTTATTATTATATCATATATTTTCGCTATATAATAAAGGAAACTGTATAAAAGTAAAATCAATATAAAATAATAAGACGGAATACAAAATTTTTGACGATGTTTTAATATGTTTCAGAATCCGCGAATTTCTTTTTTTATTATTGGCAAATAAAACGTTTTGATGAGAAACTTGCCAATTGGAAAACTGCTCGTTTCATACGTAGTTCAACATTTTATGTAGGCCACAATGGATATGCCATGTACATCAAAGTTACACCGCGATATTTTCCGGACGGTACAATTTTCATAGGAGTCGGATTAACTCGTGGTCACTATGATTCCATTCTTAAATGGCCATTTCCTTATAAGATTCGTCTCGAGGTAAAACAAATAATTCCAAACTTTATTCTATTTTTTTTTTTTTTTTTTTATTGTTTTCTTATAAAAATAATCCTCAGATTTTAGATCATTCATCTAAGCAATCGCAACGAGATCGACGATCACGAATCTGGGATCCATCCATGCTTTGTTCGGAATATTTTTGGGGTCGTCCAAAATTAACTGGAGAACCAGATAATCCAGAATGCGTTGGATTGAGCGTTCCACGACAAGTTCTTTTCTATAAATTGCCGTTTTCGATCGATCACCTATCGAGCAATACGAAATATCTTTGGAAAGGAAGTATTACAATAAAATTAACAATTTATCTTTAGATGATTTTATTTCTGATAATCATATATATATATATATATACACACATATATATACATATAGCAATTTAATCGATAATAATATATTTTTTAATTAATTTTATTTAGTTTTTACTAGAAGTATAAGCAATTATGTAAAAGAAAAATATCTAAATAAATGGATTGAACTATAATTTCTATCACTGAAATAAATTATTTATTGAGATGAAAAAAACGGAAAAATGAAATGTAATAACAAAATAATATGTTTTTTAACATTCCACATCGCGAATAATTCGCATTAATCGTTTATTCAAACGATGAAATTTTTCTAGAAATTATTCTAGAGATGATGATCGAATATCGATTCTTTTGTGAAGAGGCATTCTACCAGATAGATACATCTGCGGAATTCCAGATAATTGATATTCGTTCACATTTCGGGTAGCTGCCCTTAGCAACGCCTTATAGATAGAAAACGGAAGTCGGATGCTGCCATTTATTTCCAAATCCTGAGAATCAGTGGGATTTTCGTGGAAATTTCTTTTTTTTCCGCATCCTAAAAATAATTGATTATTTAAAATAATTGTATTTTTTGATATGTCGAAGATTAGATTCTATCTCACCGGTAAATGCATTGCAAAAAGGTCTCTTCATTTTTAACGATTCATCGTCTGTCGTAAAAACATCTAGAAATTGTTGCTCCATCTAACAATTGATTTAATTTCAGTAATTAAATTAATTATTAAAGTATTTATTGATATCATTCATTCTTTGAGATGATGTAATTTACCTTGTTTTGAGATTCTTCAGAATGTGCCACATTCATTAAACATACGAATGTAAGGATACAGCAAACATAATTGATTATCTAGAATAAATAATCAAAGAAATAATAAAAAGGATGAAAAATCAAGACAAAATCTCAATAATTATAGACCCACACGTAATTTCTAATAAGCACGTTGATTATATAAGTATAATATGTGAAGCTTTCAAACATGTTAACTGTTATAATCTGCTTATGACTTTAATCAGGTTTGTACTGTGGTTAATTAATGTGGAACGATACTAGCTGGTCGATTATCCCTTCGAGCGATAAGTTCGCCATCCATGCAAATCAAACTTTTTAATTTTATTTTGTAAATATATGATGCATATATGATGTACCAATGAAAAAGATTGAAACAATCTAATGATATAATTCAATAAATTGTAACTTTCATTTTATTTTGATAGCATCTCAATGAATATCAGATAAAAGCTCGTTATTACTTTAAATATTTGTTTAAATAAACAAATCCTCATTGAAAATTATAATGAGTTAATTCAAATTATATTATCAATCGAGAAAACAAATTGAGAAAAATAATACAGCTTTCCGAAATGCATTAACTAATAAATAAAATCATTATAATAGATCAGAAAATTAATATGCATATAATCTATATAAATTATATAAATTATGTTAACTTAAGAAAATATTTTTAGAAACGTATGCAAAAAATATTACATATTTAAGTACAATAGATTTTTCTAAAAGATCGATTTTTATCATGTAATATCGTGACATGTTTTAAATATTAATAATACTCTCATATACGAAACTATTTTTCACAAAATATTTTAAGAAATTCTTTCTTTGTCGACTAGATTATTAGAGAATTAAATTATAATTAAATTATAATATTTTCAAAATTGTTGAAAATTTAAACAGCTAAAGAACGGAGTTAAAAAAGTTACCTTCATATCGAATGTTTGAACTCTAAAAATCAGCTGCAACTTGAGGAAAGATTTCTGTAATACTCGAAAGATTCTTCTTGATTATTTCTCGATTATTTTACTTTCTATACTTCAAATAAGTAAGTTTCTTGGCTAAAGATTGATACTCACTGAAGAAGTCAAGTCTCCGTATGAGGGATGAAATCGCGCTTCAGCTCTTCAAATACTCATCCCCTCTTTCGTTGTTTCGTTCGAGGGCGTAAATACATGCGCCGAAAGAACGCATGATCATTCATAATAGTCCTCGAAACAGTACATTTAACATCCCTTATACAGATTGTGGATAGTCTAAGATGTAATTTGTAATCTAATCGGTAAGAAATGCAGAAATTATGCATTTGATCATGTTTTGTTCGTATAATCACATTTCATCTATTTTAACCGTTCATGCATTAAAGATTGAAGTCCATATACATAATATACATATAAAATATAAATACATTATGTATATAATGTATAAAAATTATTAAATATGAGACAATTTTAAGACATTTTAAATTTATGTTAAGCAATTAAAAAAATGATATCTGTACTTTTTTTTATATTATCTTACAAGAATTAATAAAATTCTAAAAAGAAAAGAATAACCATTTCCCTTTTAGGGGAAAGGAAGTAGTTTCTAATTTCAAAGTAACTTTCTTTTCTAGAAAATATTATCAAAAGCTAAAAGGTATAAGTCTTTAAAAAGTATGAAAAATTTTAATAAAAAATTTTCTATCTCTTGTGGCGTTATCTCATTTACACCCAACCAAAAAAATAGCATATTATATTTGATAAATATGCAAAGATTGAAAACTGGAGATCGAAAGATTATACAACGATCAATGCAAGAAGCAGCTTATGAAACGTTGACCGATAAGAAACTTCGTGTAAATCAAAGGAAAGGAGCCCGGGGTTAAGTACTTACAACGTTCGCACATCAGAACCCGCTGAGTTACATTAAAGTTATTCAATCCTTGGTAACTGCTCCTTATTCACCCTCTTTTATTTAAATTTTTAATCATTTTTTTTTTTGAATATTTACTCGATTGTATATTAAATACAAATTAAAAAAAAAATATTTCGTACAACATATTTCAAATATTTTTTAGAAATAAAATATTTTTTTTAGTATTTATATAGAATATATTTTTTTTTTTCATATATGAATTTTCCAAATGAATTTTTTTTATTTTAATGTTTCAATGTTTAATTTATAAATAAAATTTTTTATATTAAATTTTCATAAATTTTGTTGCCATTTTTTGTGCATATATTCAAAAATATATATTCATATTTATGATTGAATTTATAATTGATTTTAATGAATAAGCGATACGTATTAAATTAATATTATTCTTGA